GTGAAAATAGACACAAGACATTTGCCAACATGACATCTTCCACATTCACAGCCCAGGGACGTTGATGACACTTTTCACATTATGATCTTTTTCTGACGACTACATTACCTCTATGATTTTTTAATTGAGATATGATTGTCATAACAATTCCATTCACCTTTTTAAAGTATACAGTTCAGTGATTTTCAGTGTATTCATAAAGTTGTACAACCACCACCACTAGTTAATTCCAGAACACTCTCATCACTCCCCAGAGAAGCGCCATACCCGTTAGCAGTTACTGTCCATTCCCTTTTATCCCAGGCCCTGACAACCACTATAGTACTTCCTGTCTTTATGAATTTGCCTATTCTGGACATGTCATAGAAATGCAATCATGTGGCCATTGGTGTCCAGCATGATGTTTTCAAGGTTCATCTGTGTTGATAAGATATGTCATTCTTTTTAATGGCTGAAGAATATGCATCTTGATTATCCATTACTCAATTGAGGGACATTTGGGTTGCTTCCACATTTTAGCTGTTATGAATGATACTGTTGCATTGCGTGGACATGTTTTCATTTTCTTAAGTATGTACCTAGAGGTGAAATTGCTGTGTCATATGGTAACTCTTTGTTGAACTTCTGGAGGAACTAGCAAACTTTTCCAAAGCAGCTGCACCATTTTACATTCCCTCCAGCAAAGTATTAGGGTTCCAAATTCTCTTCATCCTTACCAATACTTGTTATTTTCCATCTTTTTTTATTATATTTTAGCCATCATGTTTTGTGCCGTTGAGTCGATTCTGGCTCATAGCAATCCTACAGGACAGAGTAGAATTGCCCTATATGGTTTCCTAGCCTATAATCATAACGGAAGGAGCCCTGGTGGTTCAGAGGTTAAGCAATCAGCTGCCAACCAAAAGATCCGCAGTTCGAACCTACCAGCTGCTCCGTGTGGGAAAGACGTGACAGTTTGCTTCTGTAGATTACAGCCTTGGAAACCCTATGGGGCAGTTTTACTGAGTTTAGTTCTGAGTCAAAAATCAATGGGCAATGGCTTTGTTTTGTGGGGTAGGAGCTCTGGTAGCGTAGTGTTTAAGGCACTTGACTGCTAACCAGAAGGCTGGCGGTTCAAACCCACCAGCCACTCCTCAGAAGGAAGATTGGGCAATCTACTTCTGTAGTGACACCACCTCGGAAACCCAAGGAGGGGTTGCTATGAGTCCGGTCCAACCCCACAGCAAATAACAACAACAATCTTTACTGGAGCAGATCTCCAGGCCTTTTTGCCTGCAGAGCCGCTACTGGGTTTGAAGTACAGACCTTTCAGCTGGCAATTGAACACTTAACCATTGCACCACCAGGGTTCCTTTATAGCCATCTTAATGGGTGTGAAATGGTATTTCATCATGGTTTTGATTTGCTTTACCCTAACGACTAATAAGGAGCTCTGGCAGCACTGTGGTTAAGGCGTTCGGCTGCTAACCAGAAGGTCAGCAGTTTGAATCCACCAGCTGCTCTGTGGGAGAAAGATGAGGCAGTCTGCTTTTGTAAAGATTTATAGCCTTGGAAATCCCATGGGGTCGCTATGAGTCAGAATTGACTCAGTGGCATAGGGTTTTTTGTTGTTGTTTTATTGGCGATTTAGGAGCTCTGGTGGCACAGTGGTTGAAGCATTTGACTGCTAACCAAAACCTTGGCTGTTGAAACCCGCTCGCCCCACAGGAGAAAGATGAAGCAATCAGCTTCCATAAAGATTTACAGCCTTGGAAACTCTATGGGGCAGTTCTGCTCTCTCCTATAGGACCACTATGAATTGGTATGGACTCTATTGCAGTATTTTGGTTTAACAGCTGATGAATGATGTTGAACATCTTTTCATGTGCCTATTGGTCATGTAGGGAGCTCTGGTGGCATAGTGCCTAAGGCACTTAACTGCTAACCAGGTTGACAGCTCAAACCCACCAGCCACTCCTCAGAAGGAAGATGGGGCAATCTACTTCTGTAGAGATACCACCTCAAAAACCCAAGGAGGGGTCGCTATGAATCGGAGATGACTCAATGGCACATGACAACAATTAGGGAGCTCTGGTAGCATAGTGGCTAAGACACTTGCCTGCTAACCAGACGGCTGGTGGTTCAAACCC